AGGTATGTTCTTTCCCATTTCACTTGTGGAGAGGACTGGGAAGCTACGTGTAGGATCTCATTTTGCCTATGGCACTGACAGCGTGGTCCCTCCTTGGTGGTGGAAAAACCAATGGGCAGCCCATATTTCTGCTGTCAATCCAGCCCAGAAATGCTGTATGCCAGACTAAACGGCAAGTGAGATGTTTGGGGAGAGATCTAAGTGAGCTGTTTCCACTGCGCTGTTAGCAGCCAGACAGTGCCAGGTGTAAACTCCTCTTCAAGTGTTGGAGAAAAGATTACAGCATCACCTGTTTTTTTACATGAACATTGTGGTTCAAGACTAAATTAAAAGCATCATGCTGTCACCCTCACAATCCTCGTTCCAGTCCTAAAGTCAACAAGGGAATATACTCAAACCAAAGTGCTTCCAGGCACATGAAGTAGACAAATTAATAACAATAAAAAAATACTATATTGTCCTTCAGCTGAAATAATCTTAGAGGTCACTGTAAAACACAAATTTATTTGGAACTTTCCCTATGTGTCTTCTTTCCAGTCCCAGCTGGGCAATCTGCCTTGACTAATTTCTCAGCCTAAATGACAATATTTGGGGTTTGTTTGTTTCTTCTTCCACTTAGAAATGGGATGGTGTCTGTTTAAGGAGACTCTTACAGTAAATGGTCAGGATAGCAAACTTAAGATATTGCTGGTCTGAATTTAAAAATCTGCAACCTTTATTCAATCGTGATGGCAAATGAAGCAATAATATGTTACACATGATTAGTTAACATTTTTTTCCTCTTTACTTCTGCTTCATTCACTGCACAAAACAGATAGCATGCCCTATGAGTAGAATATATCTCACCCAACTTCAGCAGTCTGAAAATTACTGTCTGTAAGGCCTCCCCTTCTGCTGATTGGAAGGAGGTAGGCACTGCCAAATAGTGATTCAGCCTGTCTGTAGGTAGGTCTGAGACACATGCGATGAGTCATTTTCCTAGAGATTCCTACATTTCTCTGCTGACCCACAAGGGAACCGAGGCAACCTACATACATTAGATGTCTCCTTTTTAGACAGCTAGAATCAGGTGAGATGCATCTCACCCTCAGCACAGTTCTTTGTTGTTTAGTGTATGGCCCGATGTCACATTTCCTGTAATGCTATTGAAATCCTTCAGCAACTAAAGTGTCCATTACCTCCACGGGCTTTGGTTGGCAATGGGGTATCTAAGAGTGGAGGCTATCTCACCAGCTAGCTGAGGTTTAGCATGCAACCTGAGCATCCTAAGCTCTCTTTATGTCAATGGAGACAAACACGCACTTTTGGCATCTGTTTTAATAAGAGATTAATCTTTCAAAAACTAACTGAATGAGAGTCCCTGGTATTACCCTGTCTAGAGAGCTGACATTTAGCCAGATGAACCCCGTGTGAAGTGCTCTGTAAATATGAATTAGTTGGTTTCATAGCTCCCTCCAAGGAAAGTGGAGGCAATATCTCAATTTGACACAGAACAAATTAAGAGTGTGATTAAAACAAAACCATTTTCTGGTTTTGAGTGTGGACTCTGACACATCTAGGGCTTAACTTTCCTGTGGACGTACATGACATTTTTCAAAGAACAACCCTCATTCATTCTTTAATGAAAAATATATCAAGACATTTGCAATTTGCCAATCTATGGCCTGAATAAGAAAAATCCTATTATGAGTTACCTGTGTGCTTTATTCAATCCTGAATGCAAATGAGATAGTATAAGTTATGAGTGTGACTTATTTTCATTACTGCAAGTTCTGCTTGCAAAATAGTTTTAATAACCTTGCATATGTTTCATGGTGTTATTTAGGCTCTCTAAACTGCATGTCGTTAAGAAATCTCGGGAAAAAAAATGATTAAATCTGACACTTGTTTTGATTGGAAAAGCATGCTAGTGTGCACACCTTCACAGTTGCTCATGATGTGAACGTTAGCTTGAGTTGTCGGAGAAAGATGAGAGTAAGTTTGGGTCTGAGCTAATGATGGGAAAACTTAGCAAGAAGTTTTTGTCACTGCATCTTTCACTTGCGTATTTTGAGCAATGGAGCTTTATGAGCTCCATGTGATGAGCAATACAGCTTGAGGATTCTGGTGACTTGACATTATGATGTCACTTGGGCAGCATTTGAGCCTTCACCATTCACAGCTCAGCTGCTGTGAATGGTTAACAATTTCCCTTGATAGTCAGTGTAGTCTCTTCTTACCAGCAACGCCCAGCTGCCTTCCTCACATTTCCGTGGTTGGTGTAAGTGAAGGATATATACTGCATGGTGAAGTGAGCTATGGGAGGGTTGATATGGACAGGTCATACTGTTTTTTATGTGATAGCCAGAAGGGAGCTCTCATGTTCTGATAGGGTCTATTTGCTACAATTTATAGCTGCAATCGTGGCTGATTACAGTACGTCAGAAGGGTGTATCACTGGAGTTGTTGCAGAGGCGATTATGAGGTGGAGCCATGAGGCCCTGGAGCATCTTAACTGCCTTATTTGCCCTCCTGAATGTCCAGTAATAGCTGAAAATAGAGTGGACAGGAGGGAAAAGCTGTTGACAGCCAGGAAAGTTACTGTAATAGAAAAGGCCTCCATTTGGCACCAGGCAACCATTTCTGTCTTTGCAAATAATTAAGGTTATATTTCCTCAGAAAAAGCTATTTCTTTTGAAAAAGCTCCATGATGGAAGCTTTATGTTTTATTTGCTGTCTGCTGTCACATCTTGATTTGCCTTGGGACTGGCCCACACAGGTTTTTTTGCACCTATTTATTCCTTTACATTTGAAGAATAATATCATTAGGTGGGTGCCTTTTCCTGTTGCAGCTGTTTTCAAGCCCTGCAGTGGCTTTCAGCCTGTGGGTTGTGAAAGGTTCACGAGGGCAATTAAGAAACCCAAGAATCTTAAGGCCTAAGTTCACCACACAAAAATGTTTATCTGTCCTATGAAAGTTTTAGGAGCTCACTAACAGAACAAAGTTAAAAGCACTGCCATAGTTCAAAATCAATTTATCAAAATAAGCTACTATAATATCACCAGTTTTGTGTGCTGGAATTACACCCACAGGAGTTAATTTGTGTAATTGTGCATGTGTGAGGGGGAGAAGAGGTTGGAAAAGCACAAATAAAAGAAAAACACAGGTTCTCTGCTCAGTCACTCTCAACCTGACTTTTGCAGTGTCTTTGCCTCTAACTCCACAGTGTGTCTGGTTCTGGGAGTGGCTATTAGTTTGGACGTGCATCCCGTGGAGCCAGTTTGGAGCTAAAAGCAGGATGGTTGCATCCACACAGTACTGCACCTCCAGGAACTGGATGAATTCAGGAGCATGGCACAATTGTACACCCACTGTCCCTGGCAGTTTAGCAGCTGGGACTTGATGTCGCAAAAGCATGGGTTTGTTGTGGCTGGGACCATATTGATTCTGGAGCTGCATAGACCCACATGTGTGGTTTATGCTTGAGCTAATAAGCCTTGTCAGAACAAAGTCAGAAGCTTTACACAAATATCTGCAGTGAAGATTAATAGCTCATGATAATGACGAGTTGATTGGACTAAGACTAAGTTGTATTAAAAAGTTATGAAAAGTGTATGTAGTCAAGTGTCTTGGACTAGCAGTTTTCAATAAAGACATGGACCTATTAAAGCGGATCCATAGAATAGAATCATATAATCATAGAATTGTTTAGGTTGGAAAAGACCTTTAAGATCAAGTCCAACTGTTAACCTAGCACTGCCAAGTCCACCATTCTATGGTTCTATG